GTTAATATAGACCCCCAGACTATTTTAATGAATTATTTGTGGTAGCCATCCACTACATAAATTACTGATGGCAAGAAAAGCTCCATATCAAAGACTGATCAGGTGCCTAATGGAAGCATAGCAAGAAAGGATGCTGCAGCAAGAGTTACCTGATATTTATGATGTAGTCTGGGGACGAATATCATTAAGGTGGCTTACAATATGATGATAGGTCAGTGTACCATCAATTTTTAATTAAAGGCATGGACACCTTAACCTTTTTACGCTGGAATAAAACCAAATCCTATTCCAGCATCAACATAACATCAGGCCTTGTGTAACATGGTAAACTAGGCTATCTTGTAATCATATTCATTGAAAATAGCCTTAGCGCCCAGGAGATCTATACTGTAACTTGCTCAGTTGTCATTACACAGCTGAAGCATGGATGATTTTTTCACTTCAGATGGCTTTTTAGAATCACTCCAAGGGTCATAAGTATGCTGGAATGCATGTAGCTGTGCAGCTGGTAATGTCTAGTGCAAGTTAAAATACTTTGAAGAACGAGACTGTTTTAAGACTGAATCACAACCATCCACATAGCTATAAATGCTGGCCACATCTTTATGAATATCATTATCATTTGCTAGTATTATTATCATATCATCTCTTTCTCTTGTTATCTTCTATCTACTGTATTTATATTTTTGTTCAGCTTTAGGTTATGCAATTGTAAACTCACTCTCTTATGATTTAGCTTATCATGCCATAACAATTAGTAAGCTTTGAATACAACACTCCCTTCCCTCTCTTATTCATACACCATGCTATTATTATTACTGTGATTTACAGTAAACAGAGCTTCATTCACATTTTAGGAGACATTGTTTTAGTAGTGTCAATTGGCACTTGCTACTTCAGATCAGTTGTATGCTTACACGGCACTTTAATTTAGTGAACTCTCCCTCATTTGGTGACCTGGACAATAGCAGTCCCTCATTTGGTATTCTTGCTGGTAGTAGATTGACCATGTGGGATGACGAATCTGGAGCTTGAACTCCTGCTGCCTCTGTGTCATTTGTCACCCTCAAGCTACCTCCTTACTGGGCGGCAGACCCACAGGTAAGGAATTCTTCTACAGTGGTTACCTGCAAATTTTGGCAATGTGAGAATGATACTACAAATGTAGCTTCCAACTAGAAATAGCCACACTGCCTGACAAGATAGTAGAATTAACTGTGATACAGACAGTCAGACACAGTAAAGTAGAAATTGCTAAACTCGGTGAGGAATTAGCTCACCTTAAATAGCCCATTCATTCATCTCATCTACATATACCTATTTGAGGACATTCTCCTTTCTATTTGGCAGTGTTTGCCATCTACTCATCAGTACTAAAGGAGTAATACTTACTGGTATCATCAGCAATACAGAGATCAAGCATGACTATTTATTATAATGCTACTAAGTTCATTCTACAATCAGTTAACTGGTGAACTTAATTACTTGTTTGCTTGATTACAGTATGGATGTCCAGCAAGGAAACAGACTCTAATTAGCTGCCTACAGCAACCATTAAGTGATGTGGTTCTCTCATAAATTTTTATCCAGTATAGGAAATTGTTGTACCTTGCGATGGTTTTTGTATTGAAAATATAATCCTTAAACCTCTCCTATGCTACTTTAAAGCCACTTATTTTTGAGTTGTTATTTGTGATGTATTTGGTTTGGCATGTAATAATTCTTAGTTTGTTACTTTGTCAATTCAAAACAAAGAAGCTAAATGATTCTTCTTATACAGGCTAACAACTCTATGTACATGTATTCTTTTATAGCACAACCTTATCTTGACATGTACCATCCCCTTACAGGCTATGTAGACTGTCAGCTATGGAAATAAAACCATAGTCTCCACAAGGAGGAAATATTAATAACTATGAACTCTTAGGCCCATAAAAATAACCTGCTACACCATACTGTACTTTTCAGCTTGTTTGACCCAGTTTTCTCCCAAGCAAGCTTGCAACTCGTGTGACTCACCATACTTTGACCAGGAAGTTATGTGTTAGTGAGAAAATTAGGTCAAACAACCTGCCAACACAGCATACAATTACTTTTAGTCCGAAAATGCTTATGTCTCTCTCTCTCTCTCTTTCTTTCTCAGATATGCTAAGATACATATCCCAATCATTGCTAGTGTCAGTGAGCATCAACCAACCACCTGGACCTCATTCTTCTTTGATCTTCATGTGCTAGTCTGTATGTTTCCTTCAGGGGTCTGGTTTGTAATGAGGCACCTTAACGACGTCAGAGTATTTGGTTAGTAAATGTAATATGTAATTATGCACTTGTATGTAGGTACATGTACACGTATACATTTATATATTTATTAATCTCCTTTCCTCTCTCCTATAGTTGTTCTCTATGCAGTGTCTGCTGTGTATTTTGCTGGTGTGATGGTTCGTCTGATGCTAACATTAACTCCAATAGTTTGTGTACTAGCATCAATCAGTGTATCACATGTACTTGATGGATTCATGTTGAACAAAGACGATGGTATGCAGTACATCATGTACATTATGTATACAATACACACATTAATTATACATGTACATGTACATACATGTATGGCATATACATGTATTAGTGCAGTTGTTTTGTCATCTTTGCATATGTACATGTATGTTTGTTTGCTTTTCTATTTATTTATTTATTTGTTTATTTTTTATTATTAGAATCATATGATAAAGTTAAGAGTGACAGTGAATCAGCTACAGGAGGAGGAGGGGGAGGAGCTACTAGTCCTTTGAAGAAACCAAAGAAAGAGAAAAAGAAGAAAGAGAAAGACCAAACTGAAACAAAAGTACAACATAATAATCTATAAATAAATACATGTACTACATTTTCATTCATTTATTTCTCCTTATAGTCTTCTGCTGCAACATCAACTTCAAAGAAATCAACAGACTCAACTGATAAGGATGGTGGTGTGACAGGTGCCAGTGGTTTCAATGTTGGTTCAATCGCTATTTTAGTTTTTATGATGTTCCTCGTATTGTTTGCTGTACATTGTACGTGGGTGACTAGCTCCGCCTACTCATCACCTTCTGTAGTACTGGCATCTAGTAACCCTGACGGGTAAATAATAATAATGATGATGATAATGATAATAATGATAATGTTTACTTGTATTTGTTTCTCTTAAATTATAAAAAGTTGTAAAATTAGTAAAGCTTAATCCCAATATATGAAAGCACTAAAAACACATAATTATGACTGGACTTAAGTTATTAATTAATTATTTATTTATATTTCAGTTCACGTCTGATTCTTGATGATTTCCGTGAGGCCTATTACTGGCTACGTCAGAACACTCCTGATGATGCCACAGTGATGTCATGGTGGGACTATGGGTACCAGATAGCAGGAATGGCCAACCGGACAACACTAGTTGATAATAATACCTGGAATAACTCACATATTGCTCTAGTTGGTGAGGATTGTATAGATTGTATAGGTACTGTATAGTGGGAATTTTATGAATTTTGCATGTAATTTACTTTTACTATATATGGGTTACATTAACACCTTATTTTTGACTGAATTATTTGTGAAAGTTTTTAGCTTGAAAAGAATACTCCCATTAATTATGGTCTCATTTTTTATTTGTGGGTGTGGCTCATTTAGTGACATCATATTACATCATCGCATTCATTAATAGGTAAAGCAATGAGCAGTACTGAAGAGAAGGCGTATGAGATAATGAGAAACCTAGGAGTGGACTATGTGCTGGTTATATTTGGTGGTATGATCGGGTACTCTGGGGACGATATTAACAAGTTCCTATGGATGGTGAGGATCGCTGAGGGAGAACATCCTAACGATATAAAGGTGGGTGGGGTCAATTAATAATTAAAAGTGTGATCAATTATTTAATAATTATTGTAATAATTGATTTTATTTATTTCCCTCATTCCCAAACACTGGTGTACTTTTGTTTAATGTAAACTGTCAGTTTCAATTGAGGGGTATAGTAATGTGTTATCTCAATCTCTTCAGCTATTATTGATATTATTAATTATTGGTAGCTATTATAATGAGATACATGTACGTTTACATTCAATAAATTAGTTTTTATTTTAATTCTTTGCTTATTTTAGGAGTCGAGGTATTTCACTCCACAAGGCGAGTTCAGAGTTGATTCTGCTGGTTCCCCTGTCCTCCTCAATTGTCTGATGTATAAAATGTGCTACTATAGATTTGGTGAAGTACAGGTTAGTTATTTTTCCCTCCCTCTTTTTTTCCTTTTCTCCCTCTCTTACTCTCTCCTTTACATGTACTCTCTATTTTGTAAATTTACCTTATCACTTGATTCTCTCTCTCTTTCTCCCCCTCCCCCCCCCCCCTCTCTCTCTCTCTCTCTCTCTCTCTCTCTCTCTCTCTCTATACAGCATAGTTACAATACACCAGGTGGTTATGACAGGACCAGGAATGTTGAGATTGGTAATAAAAATGTGAAGTTCACACATTTAGAGGAAGCCTATACAACAGAGCACTGGCTAGTGAGAATATACAAGTAAGAAACTGAACCTCAATGGGACACTTTCTAAAAAATACCCTCTACTATAGCCCATGGCTTTTCAAAAATTAGCTCTAAATTTACCCCAATTTTAATTATATTTTCTGATACCGTTTTGCTATGTAAAAATTTGGGGCTGATTCCTATTTCAATTTTTCAAGTTACCGCCATTTTAAGAAAATGCCAAAATTCTGGAAATTTATGTCCTTATGCTATCTAGAAAGTTTGAACTGTTTCTGACAAATTGTTTTTTAATTATGAGCGTTTTAGAAAACAGAAATAAGGCAAAAGCTATAGCCCCTGTTTTTTTTGAAAAAATTAATGGTTCTGAAATCACTCAAAAATTTTATTACAATTTCTGATACGTATTGATCGATGTCCTTATTTTGAACATTTTGTTAATACTTAATAGCAAATTTTCAATAAAGCATGGACTAGTATAGCCCATGCATTACTAAATTTGAGCTGATGTACATGTAGATCAATGAAATTATTTAAATCAGCCTCTTCCTTTATTCCTAGAGTTAAGGATTTAGTCAATCGAGTACGTTCTAGCAACAGTTTACGTCACGTCTTTACTAAAAAGAGACTATCAAGCCGCAAGGTCAGCTACTTGTACATGTATTATTATTGTATTTTTAAAAATTTATTATTATTATTATTATTATTATTATTATTATTATTATTATTATTATTATTATTATTACTAGAGTTATGGTTCAAAGAAACGGGGTAACATTAGAAATAAACTGACAGTCATTAAAGGAAAAAGACCAAACAAGAAGAAAGGAAAGAAGAACAACAAGTCTTGAACTATGACAAACTGTCTGATTAGGTACCGTTATTATTAAAGTTATTATTATTATTATTCTTATTTTCTTTTTTCATTTGGTAACTTGTACATAATTTTATAATAGGTTGTATTTTACAGTTTAATTTTTAAAAGTTTAGGAATTTTAAAATTGAGATGTACATGTACATATATAATGAGAATTCTGTGCAGCCAAATTCGACTTGTATCAAATCATGATGATGATGCTAAAAGAGAGAGAGAAAGGGAGAGGATGAGATGGTCAAGAGGACAAATATTTTTATCTGCTTTTCATTTTAGATATATTCCAGAATTGATTTGTGAAATGACTATTACAATAATAAATAATTCATGTTTACTTTAAGGAGACAATTATTAGCATGCATGTACTTATTTTAGCAATTTTCGTGATAATACTGACATTTGGCTGGTACTTAATTTAGCCTAAGTTTTGATCCTTTTTAAACAAAATTTATTAAATATACAATGTACATGCATGTATAGGTTATAGAGGTAGAGACATGATGTACTCTTGATACAACGTATCTAACAGGCTAGGCTAGTATCTAACAACCAAGCTTGACCATAGATATTATAGACTACGTAACCGGGATTGGAAACAGATCACGTGATCCCATTCAAATCAATGTAACTATTCAGGTACAGTCTCTGTGACAGTGAGAGGCGGACGAAAATGCCTGACATGGCTGGAAAGAATGGTCTCTAGTGAAGTCCCGCAAGCTATTTCACCTGTACTTGGGCTCTTATAATATACGCACATGTTTATATTTTTCTTTGATACAAAAATAAAATGTTTTAGCTGTGTAAAAACAGGTGTTTAAAGCAAGTGCGCTCCCCGTGACAAGAGATAATGTCTTATTCTCCCTCCTGCAAACAAGCTTTAGCTACCCCAGTTTCATTTTATGATTAAAACTATGCACAAGGCCATGCCACATGAGAATAGACTGGTTAGTTCTGCCTGCCATATTACTGAGAGCAGAAATCCACCAAAATAACGCCAAAAACCGGCCGATCTGTTGTACCTCTCCCGAGCGAACTAAGCATAGAGACACGAAGAGAAAGGTACCATCGTGATCTCTGGTATTTTCTTTATGCGATTAAGCTACTTAGAACCAGCTACATCACAGTATATTATTAATACGGCTCATCAAACATAACAATTCTTCATGATTTTCACCATTTGATGCAAATTCATGCAATTTCATGCATTAATAATCACACAGTCTGTACACGTGACGTCATCAGTTTCCAATCCCGGTTACGTAGTCTATAATATCTATGGCTTGACAAATGGACTAATAAGAGCTTAAGGGTAGAGTACCAAACTGCCAATCAATTAATTATTTTAACGAGATAGGTTTATTATTACGAGTTAGGTTAATATGGAAAATAATTGACCTCCAATACTGCAATCTCATTGGTCAATTGCAAGGTGGCATTGTAGAAAGCTAGAAAACCATTTTTTGGACAAAACCATGGGCTATAGCCTTGGGTACTTTTCAGAATTTTGGTACTTTTTTTCAAATGGCCATAACGTAAAAAATTGAAGTCGGAATCAGCTCAAACTTTCTACGCGGCATAAAGACATCGATATGTATCAAAAAATGTAATAAAAATTGGGGGTCATTTTGGAGCCATTTTTTGAAAAAAACCATGGGCTATAGCCTTGGGTACTTTTCAGAATTTGGCACTTTTAAAAAATGGCCATAACTCGAAAAATTGAAGTCAGAATCAGTTCAAACTTTCTACGCGGCATAAAGACATCGATATGTATTTTAAAATGTAATAAAAATTGAGGGTCATTTTGGAGCCATTTTTTGAAAAAAAACCATGGGCTATAGCCTTGGGTACTTTTCAGAATTTGGCACTTTTAAAAAATGGCCATAACTCGAAAAATTGAAGTCAGAATCAGTTCAAACTTTCTACGCGGCATAAAGACATCGATATGTGTTTTTAAATGTAATAAAAATTGAGGGTCATTTTGGAACCATTTTTTGGAAAAAACCATGGTCTTGGGTACTTTTCAGAATTTTGACATTATTTTATGTAAATAAAAATTAGAAAGAATAATAAAACCTTAAATTGAGCCGTCAGAATATCCCCAACTTGAGCTAATGAAAGATTTAATCCGAATAAAATAAAATAAAATATATACATGTTTATATACATCGACTCACTTGTTCATATATCTATATAACCATAGAGGAGAAGGGGAGTTTCTTAGGAAATGGCTCATGATGAATCTGAAGGTCCTTGTAATTGAACATCTCCATAATACCTTGAAAGTGCTGATCAGTCTCCACTATCACTGGAGTATAGTCATTAGCCGCCAGAAAGTTCCTAATTAAAGGAACCATGCATTGATTTAAATCAAGAGGGTCTGTCTGCTTACTTGAAAGCACCAGCATTTGTTTTCATACGAAGTTCATCATAATGCTCTCTTAAAGGAACAAACAAGAGAACAGTTCAAGCATGCAGGTTCAACTTGTAGTCTATACCTTATCTCAAGTGCTACCTCATACAACTTGTCATTATTGAACCCATAGCCCACAGTTAGATTATAAGGTCATGCAGTACACATTGCAATAAAAGCATGAATCTATTTTCTACATTGCAATGGCATTTATAAAAAAACAAGAAATTGCTTTGACTCAAAAAAACTCAACATTCACTGCAGTAAAAGCTATGAGCTACATGGTACATGCATTATGAGATTGATATGTAGATCCAGTCACATCTGGCTACGCAAGACTTACCATAACAGTATGACAAACCAAACTTTATTTTCAGTAAAAGATGATTATCCTGGCAATGTAACTATAAACAATTAAAAAAGGTAAACAAAAGAAGCTGAAAATAAACACAGTATCAAAACTGTAGGGTTGTCCCTCACTAGAAAATCATACTTTCATTTCTACAAAAGTTACCATAATTTACCAAGACTTTTGGCATAAACTGAACTATACAATACACTCAGTGGATAAGGCTGCATGCATGCATAGCAATTAAAATGAACAAACAAATAAGTCTAAAAGAATATTATGCAATTGTTTATCTTACACAATGTAGCCATTTCCCAAAACTCATTAAGAGCCTGCTGAGACATAAGACCCTAACCAGCCTCATCTTTATGACCACCAGAGCTGCTCTGACAAGTGCATGTGTAATATTGTATCCTCAACAACAAAGAATCTAAAAAATGACAGCAGCAAAGTGTAGTAACAGATCCATTAACATGCAAGGCTAATAATTACCCGATGATTTGGAAGAAATAGTGCTTGAATTATTGTGTGTCATCAACTTAAGAGAGAGAGGGAGGGGGAGGGAGAGAGGGAAGGGAAAGAGAGGGAAGGTAAAGAGAGGGTGGAAAGAGATGTGAGGTTATGTGCACCTTTGTTGGAGGCTTAATGGCCAATCTGAGCTGCTGTCTCCTTTCATTTCTATAATCATCAATAAAATGATCTCTTCTTCCCTACAGATGCATACACATACACACATACAGCTAAATAATTTATCACTTTACCAGAACAAAGTGAATGTGCAGACATCTGGT